CCCCAAAACCCCAAAACCCCAAAACCCCAAAACCCCGCTAAGCAATTTTTGCAAGAATATTAAAGAATTTATAATAATTATTAAGTAAAATAAATGTCAATTGTTTAGAGATCACTCAACTATTTGAGAAACAATCCAGTTGCCACTTATATTGTTGTAGGCATTGTTTTGTCAACTGCTAGAAATCAATAAGTTAGAGATCACTATTTAAAGCACTATCACAGATTCGACGTTGAGAGAAAGCAAGAACTCGAGGAATACCTTGCTAATGGTGGAAAGCTTCACTAAGATGATCCCAAACTCAATTTTTGAGAGTAAACGATCCTTGATAGAGAGCTTTGTGATGATATTTGCATATCAGAGAGCATTTATTTAAATCTAAAACTTATCAATTCTAAACTGCTTCCCACGTAGAGTTATATAAATAGGTCTTTCGATGTAAATTAATTCTTTTATAATCAAATATTTTGACTGATAAAAACAAACTATAATTTAAAACATTTAGTAATTAACAATAATTATATCAATGCTTTCTTCTAGTGATATGATCAAAGAAAACGACCTGAGTGTACTCATCGGTTTGAATTTCTACTCTCTTGGTACCATCACCAGGGGGATCCTTGTTGGGGTCAACATTAATGACCTTTCTGTCTCTTTTATTTCTAAATAGCAGTCCTGCATCTGAGTTGGCATCGACTCTGAAATTAGGTGAATCATTTAGAGTGCAGTTCTGAGCATCCCAGTTATAGTACGACAAATCAGATGGCTTGGGCAGCAGAGTCTTTTTGCCCTCGAAATACAGTCTAAAGTCTTCAGTCTTGAGTCTGTGGGCGAGGTCAATGTAACCGCTTATCTCGTTTTTGCCCTTCTTCTAATCCCTTATAAAGATGATTGTAGTCATTCTGCCATTTCTAACTAACTCTTCTCTCTAAGCTAACTCCTTTAAGAATGGAGAGTGGTCAATCTTTGTGCCTGCATGGGACAGTGCCTTAGGTTGATTGGCATTTTTATTTTTCTTTGCTTCTGCTATCGCAGCTTTACGCTTAGCGAACTATTCTCTAGTCAAGATTTCTCCTTTTCCATGGTATCCGACCTCAATCAATTAGCGTGCCAGCTCCTTATCTTCAAGATAGAAGAGATCCTCATCAGACATGTGGTCGTCCAAGTACTGCTCGTAAGATTCGAACTTCTCAAGGGTGGTATCGATCATATCACCCTCAAGCTCATCTTCTTAATTCATTTTTATTTATTAATTTCAAATATTTATCTTGCATTTTAACTATAATGTTGATATCAGGGGGTTTTGGGGTTTTGGGGTTTTGGGG